GAAGCCTCTAACAGGTCAAGCCTCTTAAGATCTTAAAATGTATAAAAGCACAGGCTGTCTCATTTTAATAAAGAAGAAGAGTTAACGTTCTTCTTGATAAAGTAACATAAAACATTGATCTGCCTTTCCTTTATTCCTGACTATCATTAATGCTTGAATCCCACCTAGTTAAGTGAGATGTCATCACATCCCAACCACGTTAACTATTGGAGCTAAACCGTGCACTGTTACTCGCTCTCCCAATTTACAATAGTAACAACATGTACAAATACATATACAAACGGAAATGATCATAGTTATACCGACAAAAAATATTATTAAGGGGTTAATATACCAGATAAAAAAGAACTGATTATAGATTTACGCTCAATAGAGCAAAAATATATTGATTTATTTAATGTACCTATTGATTTGAAAATACAAAAAATTAAAAATGAACTATATACAATTGGAATGACTATTCCTCTGCGTAAGTTTACGAGAGAAATTGATGAGATAACTGCTGAACTTATTGATATTTTAAATAAAAAATATCCACATCCAGAAGGTATTTTCACAAGACGGTTAGGAACAGTTAAAATGGTAGATAAAAGTAATGAAAGATATTTTACACATCTTGATGTTAAAGATTTAGATGAGAAACAAGAAAATGAAATTGTTGATGCGGTATTTGATCAACTCTTTCCTATTTTGGGTAATTCAACACTTATGAGTCCTGAGGAAACATTGAGTAAATGGCACCTGTCCTATTCTTGGGGATTTCCTTACCGAATGCTAGAAGGTGAGAATCTTTTACGAAGAAAATTTATACATAAAATCGGGGGAAGGAAAGTTTTCATTGAGAAAATATACAAATATCTTGAAGGTAATCAGGTGATACTTTCTGTCTCCCATGTCTTCATGAAAGATGAAGTTTTAAAAAGGAGTAAAGTAGAATTGAAAAAAAAAATTCGTTCAATTATAGCTCAAGATCCATTAACTTATTACCATGGTATGCTTGTAAATGGAAAACAAAATAAAAAATTTGATCCAATGGGTGGCTGTGCTATAGGTATGAGTAGCGCCCACGCTATGCCTCCTAAAATATTTGAAATATATAAAATGTATAAGGAATACCTAGCTATGGATATCACAGCCATGAATTCTACAATGACATATCCATATTTACGTATGTTTAAAAAGATACGAAAACACAGCTATGAGAATCATCCAAAATGCAATGCAGTGGGAAGTATAATAGATCATTATTATGACAACCTTTATAACTCATATTTATGGAATATGTATACAGGAGAGGTTAAGATGAAACATCAAAGCCATAGTACTGGACAAAGCACGGTCTCTTCAGACAATACTATTTATTGTTTGACTTTGTTTGTGGAAGCTTTTACAGCACTCACTGGCCTTCCGGCAAAGGATTTTTTTAAGTCAAATTATATTACTGCATATGGTAATGATAACATACTATCTAGCAATTGTTTTAATGATACATAGAATGGTGAAAAAATATCTGAGTATTTTGCTCAACGAGGCATATCATTACATACTGAGAGGAAGGCTATTGGTTCATTAAACGGTATAGAATTCCTTAGTAAGGTATATACTGAGGAAAAAGCAGATTTAGAACATGTTAAAATATATGTGCCTGAGTACGAATATACAATTAGTTATAAACATAATCATGACAAACTGTTAATGAAATTCGATGACATTAAAAAAGATCCAAATAAAAACAAAAAATATTTGTTAGAGAGATTGGTTGGTCTTGCTAATAATTGTGCATACTATCCTGACATACATGCTGAATATATGAAGTTTTATGAAAAAATGATTTTGTATTATTATGGCTACCTTAAGAATATTCGAAAGCGTGTCCCGATTAAAACTTATTCAGAAGTTATGAAATTACAATATAGACGCCAAGAAGTAGAAGCTTTTACCCTTGATATGAGTCCTATAGAGAAAGCTATTCAGAACATGAAAGTTACACTTAATGAAGTGGATTTTAAGTGTGAATTCTTGTTCCAAAATTATAGAAATATGTTATATTGTATAAACTTAAACTTACCAACAGCATCAAAAGATACTTTATTTTTCGATCCTAATAGCTACCCTATTTGTGAGGAATTCATTATAGAAAGGTGAATCTATATTAATGCTGCTATGCCTGAATCATTGGGTGAATATATGTTATTAGTAAAAGAAAGCCCTTTCTCTTCTATTATATCACCACAAAAATTTTGGGATTGTAGGTACAATTTCAAATATGATTTAGAGACTAAAATGCAATTAGCTAATCATATGATAGGTATCTTTTGTGCTTCATTACTAGTTAATTATATGGAGTCAGTTTTGATAAAATTTCCAATTTTGCGTACAATGATCAAATTTATGAAATTAAATACCAATTTTGGTTTTATTGGTTTTGCTGATTTGAATTTTATCTATTGGATAATGTTCGGTAAAAGTTCTTTAGAGTTGTCTGCACTTATACTTAGGGATCCAGCTACAAATAAAAAAGCACTGATGTATATAGTTTATTCAAAATTATTTGGTAGTATTGAAATGCCAAAGATTTCTATTACACCATTCTTAAGACTTCTTATGACCAAGTTTGTGTAATTGATCAACTTGGTTTGGCTGATGATATCAGATTTTAACTTCGATAGATTATTTAACTTGTCTTCTATGGTTAAAGATTCAAAAAATAGGGCTTTATGGATACCGTTGAACTATATGGATTCCATCGATAAAGTTATCAATGAAATAAATAATAGTAAAGTACCTATAATAACAGCAAAAACTGGAGCTAGTAAGTCAACTGACTTTATACAAAATTTAACAACTAAATACTCAAAGGTAATTTTGAGTATGCCAAGAGTTATGTTAGTTAAAGGGCATGTATCGGTATAGCCTAAAATGTATTCTGGAACAACGGATATTTGGGATGATGATAGTCATAATGTTTGTATACATGGTTATCTTTTGGCTCTTGATAAAAAGTTCAAGGATGAAGATTATATTATTTGTATTGATGAAGTACATGAAATAGATGAAGATAGTTTAATATTAATGGAAAGATATAAGGGTCATGTTATATGTCTGTCGGCTACTCCAATATCGGTACCTAATGGAGTAGAAATTCAGCTATCTAAATCAAGAAACCTTTACCAAATTGAAGTTGTTCTGAGTCCAAGTTCGTATCACTTGGAGTCAAACATATTTTATTATTTAGACAGATTTAAGGATCAGAATAAAATCTTAGTTATCCATCTATCATATACGCAATACCTTAAATTACATGATACTTTAGCAAAAACACTGGGTAAAAAATACCAAATTATTTTAGGAAGAAATGAGGTTATAATGGAGGATACAAAGGTAATTTTTGGCACAAATGTCTGAAACGCAGATTACATGTGGCAGGAGTGTGACATAGTTATTGATTCAGAATTCGACATGGGTAGAAGAAATAGTAAGTTCGTAATCTGCCCTTCATCTCATACTGTTTTTATTCAACGAAAGGATAGGACAGGTCATACATGTGATGGTGTATATGTCCGTTTACATGAAAATTATATAGACACACCTTTTGACCCATCAATATCTTTTATGTATAATTACCCATACTTATTTGAGTATTACTGAGGTAAGAAGCTATTATATTTCTCTTCAGAAACTCCAATAAGTCCAAAAATTCCATCATGTTATAACGCACTTTTAGCTAATCCAGATGTCGGTGTATATTTGGAATTGGTGTATTCAACAAATGTTATTGATGCAGATTTCTTATATGCGAGAATATTGAGTAAAAGGTATAATGCAAATACATATTATTACTCATTAGTTGATGTAGTGACTCCAATTGAACAAGTGTGGCAAACTCTGAATGATTATAATATAAACCCTGGAGTTATACAGTATAACTTCCTCTGATACAATGGAAGTTTGAAGATATTTTACTTTCATTTTACATATTATAATACAATAGCTAAATATCGTGCTGTGATTAATTTTAGGAACAAAATCAAAATGAAGTCTCTACCTAAACAGCCGTATAAATATCCCAATAAAAAGGGAATTTTAAATAGCATGAATGATAATTTAACTCAGGGTGTATTTCATGCTCCAAATGTAGGTTACAAATGGAACACTAAAAAGAAAAGACAAAAAATAATATATGAACATAAGTTTAAATATATGAAGGAAACTAAGGAGAAAGATATTTTTAAATATAAAGTATTTAAAGATGAAGACAAAAAGAAGGATTATACTAAGTTGAATTGGGCGTTAGACAATATTGCTAAAAAATTACAAAAAAATTATGAAAATATAAAACAAAATGACAAGTTTGACCCTAATACCGTAAATTTAGAGGAAATGGGCAAAATTGATCATACAAAAAAAATTAAAAAACAGGGAGAAAAAACGTGTATGTTATATGCAAAAGAAAATAGCTGCACACTTAGAAATGAAGATATTAATAATCATTATTTATCATGTAGTATTTGTACCTATGATTCAGACAGCAAATTAAAAATCTGTTATAGCTGTTTAGCCTACAATTCAGATTATAAGATGCCTAGTGCTTGGTATTTCTATGATAGCTTAAATATATGTCAACCAACTATAAATTATAGTGATTTTAAAGAATTCATCTGTGTAGAGTGAATGCGAACAGGGGAAAAAGATGGTCTCATCTGGCTAGATGAGATCATCAGTTATTTACAAATGAAAAAAGAAAGTTTTGAAATTATACATCATAATCCCTTTATATAGATAGGCCCGCAATTATACGTAATGGAATCGCTCCATATCATTATGTAATTCATAATGATAATCAATACTGGTATAGGCTAAAAAGCCAGTGTGGAAATACTACCTTGGGTCTTCACAATATTAATTGCCGTAATTATCAACAATATTGAGAAGATCATCATCGAGTTGCATGTCAAAATATACTTTTAACACATCGAACAGATTGTTGTTATAGCAAAGCAGAACATGTTATTGCATATATAACTGACTACACTAGACAATTTTGCTGTCGTCAAGACAATACGTAGGGTTTTCTTTGTTCACTTTGAAAACTTGGTTTGAGGAGTTATATATAATATATGTTTAACTCTTAGCAAAATATTTAATTAAGGTTATTTCTAAAATTAGGATATGAGTTAAGTTTAATACCTGAGTAGAAAATGACTAACAAATATCTGGTTATATTTTATTTTTATTACTTGCAGTGGGCTACACACCATGTGTCATAAAGATCTTTTAATACAGATTTCTCTGTTTACAACCATTATGGTTGAAGCCAATGAAGTCTCTCGAAGCATGTTACTATTTAGGACAACTACGAGAAAGCATAAAAGAGAATAAACAAAGACTAAAGTATGCTCGAAATACTTTAAAGAAATCTTTAAACCCTCGACGAGCTGACAGAATATGGAAGTGCTCTGAATGAGTTTACCAAATCTTCTGGATATGTAGACTATCAAGACTTTGCTCCACTACGAAGATAACATTCACTAACTTAGAAGAGTTAAGTGATGAAGATTTTTCAGAACTGCTA